TTAGAAGAAGAACCACTTATGATTGTGACACAGCATTGGTTTCTCGGAGTAATACTGGATAGGCAGCTATCATGGACACCTCACATATAGAAACTCGAAAACGAGGTGAATACGCTCGTGAATATACTCCGCAGAATTGCTGGGACATCATGGGGTGGATCTGTATCATCCATGCTCGCTGTTCACAATGCTTTAATACGACAAAAAGTTGCATATTCTGCAGCAGTGTTACACGGCCTTTCCCGCACTTCAGAGGAGTGACTTCAAAGACTATTAGCTAGGGGACTGCGCGTCTGCATAGGTGTTCCACGAGCGACTTCAAGCAGCCTTGTCATAGCAGAGACTCGACAACCACCCTTTCCAGTCATGAGAACAATTGAAATATGCCGCCATTTTTTTCGCTTACAGACGCAACACAGGGACCACCCATTGGCACAGGAGCTTTTACTAAGAGATAAATGCAATGCTCATAACGATGTACAGAGTAATGTACATATATTACCCAGAAATGAATTTTGGAGCTCTGAAATGGACTATCCTCCATGGCTGCTTGTAATACCAAGCATTGAATTCTCAGTGGATGGCATTATCAGAGAGAGAGACATGTTCATCCAAGCTGCTCAACAACTAGCGCTTTATCAGATACACATGCGGTATCCAGGGTACATACATATTTACACAGATGGCTCAAGTACTACAACGTCTTCAACATCGGCATTTATCATACCACAGCTCAATATTCAGGAATCGTTTAAATTATGTCGCATGACGTCATCTACTACAACTGAGCTCTTCGCTATTCTGTATGCTCTAAAGTTTATAAACTCGGTAGCAGACGCTAGAAAATGGGTAATTTTTAGTGACTCACAGGCCGCATTGAGATCACTCTCAAGTACAAACAGGACAGTAATAAGTGATAGTATGACATACGAAACGCTGAAGGAGCTCACCAAAGCAAAGAGGGCGCAACATGAGATCAAATTCCAGTGGATACCTGGCCACAGCAACATTCCTGGAAACACAGCTGCCGATGAAGCAGCACGACAAGCACATCGTAAAGACGTTACTGTTTCTTTACCAATTTTGAAAAATGAATTGCGTAGTATTATAAAGAATACAACTTTCAGAATGAGCAAAACTGCTTGGTTTGACCAAAGTACAAAGAGCTGCGATTTATATCACATCGATCCATGCATTGAATTCAAAATTACGCTGGCATTAGATAGAAGGATGGAAACTCTAATTCACCGATTGAGGCTAAGCACCGCATATACAAAACATTTTTTGCACAGAATCGGCAGAGCTGAAACTCCCGAATGCGAATGTGGATTTATAGATGAAGACGTCTGTCACCTTCTCATAGACTGTCCACATCATGACACGCCGAGACGCCGTCTTAAGTGCGAACTGTTCGCATTGGACCACAGACCATTTAGCATGAAAAAACTTCTGGGCCCGTGGCCAACTGGAGTTTTACAGTCCCACGCTTTAAAAGCATTAACACGTTTTTTACAAGACAGCGGGATTGCTGCCAAGTATTAACAAAGAACAAACCTTCATTTGTAACACATGTACTTATTATTTACAGTATCATGTGACACCCATCACGTGTGTGTTGTGAAATGAATGACGTATCAACTATTTTGTACATACAAGTGAGTGCATCTTTATAAGGACCAAGCGTGTGCTTTGCTGTTTTGTGCTGGTGGACTGATTAATAACGAGGGACATTTCCAGAGACTTTTACATTGGCTTTCGAACATTTACTTACCATTGTGATATGTGCGTATAAGTGTGTCTTTGCATATCTGTGCCCGAGTTTTCTATTTTCCATGCACTGCTTTGTATGTTTTGCTTCAACATACGTGTTCAAGTTTCAATTAACGGCTAAGGAGTAGCCAGCGCCATAATGGTGCGCCAACATCTCCCTATATATCATATCAATAAAAAAATGTAAATCATGACATTCATAACATACGTGTCATGATTTTCATGTCACGGCTAGTCAAATATGTTCCTCATACAGTCATCTTATGCCATACCAAGTTTGGTATTGATACCATTAGCGAAACGGCCTGAAGAGTTAAAAGTTGTAGGCGGATGGATAGATAAATAGATAGATAGATAGATAGATAGATAGATAGATAGATAGATAGATAGATAGATAGATAGATAGATAGATATGCTCAAAGTCGCTGAAGTTGGCTAAAAGATGCTTCGCATTCAAAAGAACAGTGAAGGACTACAATTCACATCATTCTCTGTGAAGTATAGCAGGCCCTGCCTCAACCTTGTTAGTATCAGCTTCAACGAAGTAGGTACAGTGTGAACCATACCGTATTTCACCTTTCCAGATATTCTTCGCGTTATTTTTTTCTTTATCTCTTCACAGAGAACATCGTAGACATTCTGCATATTGCCCAGCGCGTTTGTAAACTTTACTCTGTTATGTTCGATATTTCAGCCACAGAACGAATTAACAAATCTCAGTGTATGGTACGCCAACATGCTTACGACACTTTCGGATTGTTTGAGATCATTCTGTTAAGGTTGAGCGCCGTAAGCAAATTGTCATGCGCGTAGATTCGAGAACTTTTGCGAGCACCAGCAATAACGCTGGAAGGTTGGATGAATGCTTTATAAAAGACGACGCGCTTTATCCATGACTATAGATTATCGACGGCAGATGCTCCGTACGCCGTTATATAGTGTTCAGTGTGTGTCAGTGATTGTCACTTGTAGTGGGACTTTTCTTTTAGAGGGCGTAGGCCCACTTAAATAAAACGTTTTATCCTGAACCAATGCCACCTGGATGTTTTCAGGCCTGATCACTGTTCCTTCCGCGTACTCTGACATCACTTCATTTGACCATCGTAATTCGCTTCACAGACGTGCTTACGTTTGCTCACGCCGCTCGACAGCGATGGATTACAGATCCTGACGAACGCTTTAGTGGCGTGCTAGTGTGCTTGTTGGCGACTGGAAAAGACCGTGTTTTTATGTGTCTGAACTGCGTCGCGGATATGTGATTCGCATTGTGTATACTGAATATTCGCATGGCGTACGGATACAAATCTGCAAGATGGTGGGATGCTGTGTGTCTAATTGTAGCGGCAATTAGACTATACATGGGCCGAATATGTGAGTGTTCTCGTTTCTTAAGGGTGACCAAAGAATAGCGTATAGAGAATTCGCGAATAGTACCACGGGCACCTCCATTTATTGCTTGAGAAAAAACGCCAGGCCTGCGCGGAAGGCGCTAGAAGAGCGGCCTTACAGAGCCTTTTGTAAAAAATAATAGGGTAATTGCTGCAGGCACACTTGCTTGAAACCCACTATACGGCACTAATAAAAAAATTGGGGTAGTTGGCGGGCATTCGCTATTTCAGTAGTAGGTTTGCATTCGCTATGTTTTTTTTTTTGTCGTCATTCTTCTGAGAAACGTGGTATCCGCTAAACACTTGCATGCAAGCAACTTTGTGCCAATTGTTCATGCGGTTTATAGCTGGCGACGATGAGAAAATATGCCTTAAGTGGGTATGCGCCACAGTTTATAGCTGAACAAAAACAAACTTTTGTAATCGGTTGGAGCATTGGATGACCCACTCGTTACGCTATTCGCATTGTGCGACGACGGGTTGTTATTTACCGCTTTTAAAACGCTTTATAAGTCGTAATAACGCGATTCCTTTTCCGAAATAAAGCCTGTCTAAGGCACGTTTGCCAGCCAGTCTCAAGCATCGGTGTTGCTCAGTGGTAGAATACTGGCTTGGCACCTATCGGACCGGGGTACGAGCACCACTGTGTCATTGGTGCTAGGTTTGTTTTTTTTAATTTCGCGCGATGTGGTTAAGGACACCGGCAGCGGCGGCGGCGGTGGACAACTGCGCATGACCCAAGTTTTGATATTTTTACGTCTTTCGCTGTAAAAGGAAGAAGTGCTGGTTTGATGCTCTGCTCATCGGTTTTGTGCAGAGTATTTTTTTGCCGGTGTTCCAACCACTGATTTGTGGTATTCTAATTATACGCTAGTCTCACCTATTATATGCTTCTTGAAATATACACCGATGTAACGTCAGCCTAATTTAGATACCTGTATAAATCTACGGTAGGTGTTTTATTAAATGTTTTTCAAGTGTAAGAGCTCCACTTAAAGCCAGAATATTTAAAAACAACTGCCAAATATACCAATGCAAGAACCGGCAAATCAATGAAAGCTCCTAGGATGGCTACATGGCTCACGCAGTGCCGACAATTTTTCCCGATGCCCCATGTCATATGAGTGACTACGCACCCAGCGCTAGAAGGGCCAGATCAAAAGAGGAAATGCCTCTTCTTGTGTCTCTCACAGGAACAATTTTGTAAAACGGAAGATTTGGATGTCTGTTGCAATAGTCATCACCCTGACGTTGTGCTGAATAACATACTTGCTGCAGCAGCGACCACTATCCTCAATAACTACGTCCTTATGAAGAACGATGTTTAGAAGAGTACGATATATTGCTAACTCAGCAAAGAAAACTGCAGAATCTTTGCAAATGAGTAAGAACTGTTTCTGCGCATATTCTAGGTAGTGTGTGTATGTTTGGGTGCGTACACGCATGCGTGTGTGTTTGTGTTGCGTTTAAATAAAGAATAAAGAATGAATAAAATTTAACCCATTCATTTTGTCTCTTTGTGGCTGATAAAACTTTCACCAAACGTTCCTAACTTACGATCTTTTGTGAATTGTTCGTGAAATAATAAATGGCTCACAAATAAATCGCCAGACACTTCAAAACGTAATACATTGCTTAATGCAGCACGTTTCCAAACGCAAAAGGAGAATGAAGTTTACGCATGTAAAACTTGCTGCGAATGCTCTTAACGAGAGACGATGGTAGCACTGGATTCACGCAGCCTCCCGTAAGCGCGATCGCTGGGTCAGAAGGAGTGACGTCACGGAGGCAGTCAGCAGCCCCGAAAATAATTTTTTTTTAGGTGGCATTGCTTGAACCCACCGGCTGGTGCATTCTCCAGCGTCATGACCACGTGCTAATGCAATTTAGACGATGTGCGTTCTTTTACCGGTTATCGGAGCACATAAGCCTATTTTGAGTACACTTTGTTTCAAGAAGAGCATGATTCGAGATAGTTTTACGTAAAAGTTCAGTGCAGGTGTTAATGTATAATGAATACGTAATGTGTCGATGTTTCAGTGTTTGTAGAGTTCAATGTACTTCAACGTTTTTCGATATCCCGCTAATATAGGCTAAAGTATAGCGTTGTTGACTTCTCGTGCGGAATGTGTGTCGCAAATTTGTGAATAATTCACGTTTTACAAAGTTAATTTTAAATAAATATCAAAAGCACCTATAATTGCTGCCACGACCACGCATAAAAAAGAAGCATCAGATGGGAGCATGAAAAATATTTATTTCATCTTCAAAACCTTAGTAAGTATGCCTGCGGCTGTAGATGCCACCTATTTACGATGTTGGTCAAACTTTCCTTTCACACCGTTTGCTGTTATTATTAAAAAACAGTTGCTCTAAGTAAATTTTGAAAGCTACGTGCAGATATGAAATTTGGTGTCGTTCTACGGAATGCAACAATATCCAAAGTGCATGTAAATATGATCAATATTATCGCAATTGAAAGTATGTTTTCTAATAACTCACTTCAGGTATTCGTATCTAATCATTAAGAAAGCTACTAAGTTCGCCACCCGGAGCGTTTCACGAAATGACGTCGTTATAGTGCCACTACATGGAGCTGATGTAGTAATTCTCGTATCGTTGGTCTGTGTAATACAGCCAGTAGACCAGGTTCAAGAACGCGAAACACAGGGGAAACATGTAACGACTGGCTCTGTCGATGGCCTCGGCTCTCTTCTGGTTTCGATGGAGTTCGAGCTTGCTCTGGGAGTCCAGTTTGAGCAGGAAGTCGTCCGTCGGGTAGCCGTGGCGGACGTACTGCGTGTTTGGAAATAAGGAGATCAGACAGATAGAGGTATCATCTGCGAATTTTATTTGTGCTGACACCCGCGTTATCGTACTGACAATCGGACGCCTAAAGTTTAGCGAAGATAGTTATAAAGCACAGGTACTAGCCCAATAAAGAGCAATAGTGGTTCGCCGAATTCTCAGGGACATTTTTCTGTCGGTGTCGGGCAAGGACCAGAATGACAGCTTTTGCTAGCTCCCACAAAAGTAACAGCTTGAAGTAGAGTCGCGATTCTGGCCTGACACACATATCGCATAACGTGCAAAGTAATTGAGAGAGAGACACTAATATTAGGTGATCCTAATACAATACAGGAAAAAAAATGCGCTATTAAAAGTAAGGACACAACAAAAAAGAAACTCTTATACAGTTTGAGCGCTAAGTGCGCTCGACCTGTTTAAGTGTTCCTTCTTTGTGGTTCTTTTCTTTTAGTGCAATTTTTTCCTGTATAGAATGAACCAACTAGCCCCTCAATACGTCCTGACGCTAATACGTCTCGTAGATAGGTGTCTGGTATAGTGACACGTGTATATTCTGACAAATATACGTGTAGCTGGCGCTACAACTCTTTTTTCCCTGTATAGGAAACACTGTTTTCCGCTGAGATTGAGAAAAGTTTAAATGAATGCCCAAGATGCTTATTGCGTCTTCGTTGGCGATGAAACCATTGTCGGAAATTCAGATATCGGTCAGGTTGTTCGAACGCATCGATGAAGGATGTGTCCATTAGCAAAATTTTATCTATTTCAAAGTATCCATGAACTTCCTTTCCTACAAGGCCCACAACAGAGTAAAGTCATGCCTGCTTGGTCGCTCTGGGAGAAGTCAGAGACCGTCATCTAACAACAATGGCTGCTCATTAGGCCACCTATAAAATGGTATATAAGCGCGCACTACGCGCCACTTAGCCTGGGACCTCAGTAGCCTGAAGTCTGTGCTGTCTTTAATAAACTGCTCAGTTTTTTGTTCGCTACCTCAACTGCTACGCGGCCTTTACTCGCCGACCTCCACTGGGAAGCACAAAACCCCGAGCAATGCGCTCAACACGATGAACGCGTACGGCTCCGCATGGTGTACTCACGTGCAGAAGATTGGCGATACCGAAGTCCACCCTTCGCATGATGCGAGGCCTGAGCTTCATACGTATCATGTAGTGGACGAGAGTGGTCTCTGCGAGCTCAGCAAAGATGAATATGATGCACAGGGTCGCCCAGACGTCGATGGCCTTCACGTAAGAGACACGAGGAGCGACCGTGCGAACCGATGACATGATTGACAGCACGGTAAGCAGTGTCGTGCAGCCGATGGCCACGCGAATTTGCGGCAGCACCATGGTGATGTAGAAGGGCACCCACGAGATGAACACGGCCAGGCAGGTGGTGAAGTAGCTCTGTATCAAGTGGAACTCAATTCGGCGGTGCAGTAGGAACGTCACGTTCAAGGTGCTGAAGGTACCTGCGCCACGGAGAGTTTCTTTATTGAAGCGAATAGCCATAGATGTCGCGTAAAACGTAAAAATTCATTGTCGGTGGCGTCAACGTTGGCACCAGGAATGAAAAAAAAAATAATCATCACGTGTTGTCGTCTCCGCATGACATCATCATGGCGTCACAGATTGTTAAATTAGCGACGCCATCCGGACGTCGCTGTAACGTTGCTTGATAATATTTTCACATGATATCGTCACGTAGTCACAGGTGGACTGATGCCGGAGGCAACGCACAACTATGTGACGTGCAGGAAGTTTGCAGTGCCGGCCATCATGGAGGCATTGCAAAACCATTTGAGCTAGCTGCGGGAAGTTCTCGATGGGGAGTTCGGGGAGATAATACATCGATCGAGAAGAAAAAAAAGGAGGCTTACGTAATGCATAAGAGAGGAGTCTGACACAAATAAGAGACCTTGTTGTGACAATGACTCTGTGGACACTCAATACAAATATTCACCAGAGCCTTTAAAAATGGCAAATTTTAGTGTATTAGCTGCCAGAACGACAATGTTACTGTGAATCAGCTGACTTCACATCAATTTTAGCCCCCCAGGGCTACGTAAGGCGTCCATGAAATCAAGTATGCAGATATTTCTCATATTTCATCCTGATAGAAGTACTGCCACCCCGACCAGAAATTAAATCCCAGTACTTGACTTGGAAGCATGGCACCTCAGTGTCGTAACTTCTATGGTATGTCACCAACACCTATATTTTGCTTATGTAAACATGCTTATGCACGCTAGGTGTTCTTTGACATCATCAGGCGCCACAGTTTCACAGTGAGGCGTTATGGTGGAGGTCTGCGTAGTGCCATAGATAGAAAATTATCATCCTTATGTACCGTCACGCAATCAATACCGCGAAAACACCCTTGTACAGATAACTGAAAAAAGAAACTGCTACGTGTGACATCTAATCTGTGTTTGATTAATTGATTGATTTGTGGGGTTTAACGTCCCAAACCACCATATTATTATGAGAGACGCCGTAGTGGAGGGCTCCGGAAATTTCGACCACCTGGGGTTCTTTAACATGCACCCAAAGCTGGGTACACGGGCATAAAAAATCTGTGTTTGACATAGAGAAAAAGAGATAAAGAGGACACAGAACAAAAAAAGATAAAGAAAGAGAGCAATCGTAGTCATGTATGGTATGGTATAGTATAATATATTACAGCAAGTTGTGGGGAAAATACTGATGAGAGGGCTAAAGCATTGCCTACACGGGAACAGATAGGTACCCACTAGCCCTGCTGCGACTCAGCCTTGCGGAACATCGTGGAAGCTGCGGTAATTTTTTTCTTATATCATTTTGCAGTCTACTCTGTGATCTTGCTTTCAAATGCGTCTTGAAATATTGAATGAATAGCTCTAACTGAATGCATCTGCCTTACCTGGGATTCTTCATCGTGTTCCGATGTGTTTTATTCAGAACAGAATTGTTGTAGTGCATGCGCTGCTCCGCCACTCTAGCATGCCGTATTTACCCGAATGTAACGCGTTTTATTTTCAAGATTTTTGCTACCCATATTCGACCCTCGCGTTAGAATTGAATACCAAGATAACCTTTACTTCCTGGACACTATGGAAAGTCAACCCTCGCGTTCCAAACGTGGTCGCGTTAACCATCGAGTAAATACGTACTTACCTATTTGTCGCCGCTCAACAAACTGTCCTGTGTAGAAGCCAACCAGGTCGAATTCCTCCATTTGTATGTCAAACTCCATCGAAACGGGTTTGTCACGTGCCCAAGAAATTCTTGTTTGATCATTCCTTTGTGCATCTGTGAATGAACGAATCAGCGTGTTTATTGTTATGGTCGGCTAGTAAACGTTTATTAACATCTGGGGTTTACCATATGACTATGATTCGCGTCGCAGTGTAGGAGCTTTGGAAACTTCGACCATCTGTTTTTCTACTTAAATAAAAAAATTAATGAAGTAGTTGTCACTGTTGCTTGGTGACGGATACTCGAGCTTTTCCGCTTGTTTGATAGCAAAAAAAGTTAAAGAACAAAAATAATGCATATACGCATATATTTCTAAATTAATAGTTCAGACAACCATTAAAACAGAGCTCACATAGAGGCGTGGTGCACACTTTCAAAATTGTTCGTTGAATATGCATCACAAATGTTGGTGTTAAAAAAAAAAAAACAAACTCGCTGCAGCACTTTTATTGTTTTGCGCATTATCCCAGTCGGCTATTGTGGACATCTGGTGACCATATTCTGTTACTTAACGTGCTCTGAGATCGCACTGTAGTACACAGTGCGATATGTATAACATCTCGGCTCCATCAGGCTACTAAGAATTTGGCACAGCCTCGTTTATGTGTGAAAATGTTTGCGTCTTTCAGATTCTGTTCTATTTAGATCTGTACTCACAAGGTCTAATGATGACGAAGCACTTTTGTCTGTCCAGAGGAAATAGATGAAAATACATATGGCAGGAGAGCTTGAGGCGCACCCTGGTATAACAAAAAGAAAAAAGGAAGGAAGCTGCGTTATAATTATTTTCAAGATTAATCCCCAAATCAGCGGAAACATGTATTTATGCTTGTGGAAGCTTGGTATTACGTGCTATTATTTCGATTAATTTATAATGCATTTTGTGAAATGAAATAGTTGGAACAACTGTATTCACAATACATGTAGATAATGGTGATTGTTTAACGCGCCATATAAACAAGTTGCGCCTGCGCCGTGAAGAGCCTATATATACGTACACAAGCCTAGCTCCAATGCTATCCTTCAACGAGAAACATGGTAACCACTATTGCTACGCATTAATTGATAGGTTGAGGAGATCGTTTCGCTACTGAAAAAAAAAAAAAGCTGAGTCCTTGAAGTTGCTAAGTAGACAAAAATATAAAAGCTATTGTTGTGCACAAGCGTGACACTAATTTTTTATAGAAGTTACGTCTTTAAGCGAATGCATCTAAAAAATTCTCTAGAAAATGTGTTTCCGAAATATAGGGTAAACTTCTGAAACACTCAGTGATATTAAGCGAAACGACTACGTAAAGTCCCCCGAAAAAGTTGCATCCAGAAAAGGGACCTACTCCACCCCATTATTCGTATCCTGGTCACTTTTATCACGTGGTTTGAATCCTACTTCACTATCTGCCTTGAGTAGACTCATTCCTTTACCACTTCCAGTGCCTCGCTATCTTCACGCAAAATGTTGTTCTCATCCAAGATTGTTGAGCGTCACGTCATTTTCCTGCCTATTAATTTTCAGTCCTACCATTACGTTCAGGTGTACCATTCACAAGATCACTATGTTAGAACAAAAGCGCCATGTTCTCATCCGTTTTTGTAGTGACATGAAAGAGACATCATTACAACCAAAACCTTTTTTCCCATTGTCGTGCACTTCACGCACATTCTAGACAGAGAAGCATTAGCTAGGGAAGTGCTAAGGGGCAACACAAGTGCTGCAAAAAGTATCTAAACATGTCCATTGATCTATGACCACCTTAAAGGTAATACTGATATCTGCGGTTTTACGCCCAAAACTACGATCTGAGTAGGAAAGACGCTGTATTGGAGGGCTCTGAAAATTTCGACCATCTGAAGTTCTTTCGAAATTTCGAAAATTCGAAAATTTCGACCATCTGAAGTTCTTCACCGTGCACTGACATTCACACAGCACACGAGGCTCTACCATTTCGTCTCCATCGAAGTGCGACCACCACGGCCAGGATACAACTCGCGACCTATGGTTGAGCAGCCGAGCACCGCATCCACTGTTTCACCGAGGCGGATACGAAACCACTTTTTTACACCCCAGAGTGGCCAGTAATCACCGCCCAACCACTCACTCACGTCTACAGCCTTCAAATAAAAACCACGAGTGTTAGACGTGCGCGTCTCTCGGTCTCGGTGTTGTGGAAAACTCCAGTTGCCACGCACTCACCTCACCCCGTAGAGAACGTAGCCGTCAGGAGTTATCTGGACTAACTCGTTCGGCGCCGTGACGTCGTGGACGGTGGCGCGCTTGGCGTTGACGAAGTACAGGTCGGGCTTCCAGATGAGCGCCGTGATGGCCTCGCCGCTCAGCATGACCGTTTCGTTGATGCCGAACCGGAGCAAGCTCAGCCGAGGGTCGTACCACGACTGTTGTAGGTACGCGTCCAGGTCGTAGTCCTGAGTGAGGGTTGTTTTTCAATGCATAACTTGGTTTACGAGCTGTGAAGATTGATTCGATTTGTGTGGAAAGCACGTGGACGTACCAGATAACATTATCTCTCTCTCTCTTATCTCTCTCTCTCACACACACACACACACACACACACACACACACACACACACACACATATATATATATATATATATATATATATATATATATATATATATATATATATATATATATATATATATATATATATATATATATATATATATATATATATATATAATGTTGTTGGAACAAGCTCAGTGAAGAGGATTAAGCCACGCGATATGTCTAAGCAGAAGGAAAGACAAAGAAGGTTGAACAAAGCTCAGGCGATAATGCCATGTTTTTACGTGTTGTTTTGACTTCGGGTCATTTCGTCGTTAGAATATGCATAACGCACGTATAAATTGGTCTTGTTGCACATATACTTATTAAAGACCACTGGTAAATAGCGAAGAGCATACATATTTCTCGACGAAGAACTCGGCATTTTAATTTCAAATAGTTTGCGAGAAGCTTGTCGACTAACGTAAAGGTGCGGAATCTAGAAGTATCGAAATTATTACGGAATAATTCTGCTAGAAGCGTCGAAATAGTTGCAGAATGTTTCTGCTAGAAGTCTCAAAATTATTACGGAATACTCCTGCTAACTACAGCCATGTGATTACCAAAGGGCCTCCAAGGTTTCTTCGCTTTCCTGAATTCTGTCACAGGGCGGCTTTATGCTCTCCCATGGTAGAGTACCAAGCACTCAAAATTGTGAATCCCTTTTTTTTTTTCAACACATCTGAACACGCATCCGTGGTGACGCTCCCATAGTTGAGTCAGAAGTACTTGAAGTAATTAAGCACTTTTTCTAAAGAAACTTTCGGCCTTACACATTGTTAGGGAGAGCACTAATCTCTCTCTAACACTGTGTAAGGCCGAAAGTAGAGTACATCATCAGAGGGCAAAGGTCTCTCCCACGATCCTCCAATCGACCCGGTCTTGTGCGTCTACTGCCACGTTATAACTGCGGACTTTTTATCCTCATCGGCCCACCTAACATTCTGTCTCCCGTTCGCACGGGTGACTTCTGTGGGAACCAAGTAGTGCACATAGTGCTCTAAATCGTCAACCACTCTTTCTGAACAACCACCTATATAAAGAAGAAGGGAAGTAGAAATATGTCCATCTCTCAGGGCATTCTATTCCATGTGCAAAATTGAATAAATAATTAAACTAACTAATAAATAAGTAAAATATTCATTCTTTATAAAATAATTATTTACGCATGATGAATTCGTAAAGCTGTTAAACTATATCTCACGTACACTTGACAAGACGTTATACATGGACACCTGCTAAAGGAAATGAATTGCTTGTCATCGGTACTATAAAGTATTTAAGCCATTGCCAGGTGTCATAGTTAAGCGTGCTTCATGACAGCGCTTATAGCTTAAAAGGCTTTCATAAACTTGTCTTTCAACTAGCGTCTTTTGTCCGAGTTCACGGAGCTTTCTGATATGAGTCATTCGATTCTCAAGCAGTAAGTTTAGATGATATGAGCCCACCTTTAAACAGGCAAAGACAAGCCTTAGTAGCGAAATGAGTTATTGCGAGGAGGTACTTTTGTCACCCTTTTATGGCAGTTAAAATTCATGTTTGGAGCAATTTTTCGTGCAGGATGAGAGGGACGTAAAATGTGGTTGATTGATATATTGATTGATTGATTAATTGATTGATTGATTGATAAGTAGGGTTTGACGCCCCGAAACCACCACATGATTACGAGAGATGCAGTAGTGGAGCGCTCCGGAAATCGCGACCACGTGGGGTTCCTTAATGGGCATCCATATCTGAGCACTGACGTAAAAGATGTACGCGCTGGAAAATGTTTTATTTGACGTTGCTGACTTTAGTGTGTGAACCATGCACGATGGTTGCTGCCGGGGAAGCAATGCAGTCAGTGAGGAAGATGCCCCATTAGGAATTAGTGCAGTGACGCTGTGGATAACGAAAAAGGATTTTTTTAGCCACTAATATATAAACAGATGTGCAATCTTAGAGATCATGACCTAATATAAGCGTTTATTTGTTGTTGTGCGTTATATCTAGTTTTTTTTTAAGGGAACGCATGGAGGAGGCTTGAAAAGAGGGAAAGAGATTGAAATAGCCTCTTTAAAGAGATGAAGCTTACCATACTCGCTGAATTGAGAGGACCCATGTCATATACATCCAGAAACACTGTCACTTCCGTTGGCAGAGCTAGGAAAAACAATTTAAAAAGTATGCTTAAATATCGGAAGCGCTAGAGCGCAGAATGCCTACATAAAAAAAAAAAGGCTGATCCCACGTACTGTGGGTATCGATTATATGCAAAGCACGAGTAAAGAAGGTTGATATGTCACTTTAAAGTGAGCACAACGTTACTAGGCGGACATAATTTATGCCTTACATGACTTCCATTTAATGATTATGATATTTTGAGATGTCCTTTACTTTCGTTGTCTCTTCAGGTCGCGGGATAGCAAGTTTAGTATTACGTGACGTAACATGTAGACCTAGCAAAACAGCCATAAGCACGCTATCAGTGTTGCATGTAGTAATGTTTGACATGACAGGCATATCATGATTATCATGCTCAGTCGTGTCATTTACCTTCGTGTATATTCACGTCACGTGATACCAAATTTGGTTTATGCGGAACTGGGAAAAGGCTGCGAGCGTACGAGCATAGCATGTTGTCATGTTTTACATGACACGCATGTCATGGTTATGTCTGGACGTGTCATTTACCTGCGTCATCCGTTCATGTCACGTAATACTAAATTTGGCATATATGAAGCTGTCAAAACTACCACGAGCGCACCATGAGCGTGGTGTGTAGTCATCAGTAGTCCTCCTCATCAGTGTTCTCCTCATCAGTGTCCTCCTCATCAGTGTCCTCCTCAGACCTCAGACCTCATCAGTGTATAACATAAAAATCATGACATGCATGTCATTATTTCCTCGTTGGGGTCTGTCACTTATGTTCGCCATGCGGTCATGTTATAACATACCAGTTTAGCAACATGTCATGTGAACTAAACAACCACGAAAGCAGCAAGACCATAAAATTTAAATCACGACATTCATGACATACATGTCATAATTTTCATATTATGCCTAGTCAATTATGCTCATCATACAGCCATATTATGCCATACCACGTTTGGTATCGATACCGTTTTTGAAACGGCGAGGAGAGCTAAAAGTCCTAGGCGGCTAGATAGATACGATCAAAATAGCCGGTTCGCTAAGAAATGCTTCACATTTAATGAAACTCATAACACGCAACAAGAGAGAAAGAAAATGTGATTAGACCAGGAAATTTTATATTTAAAAGTTCCCTTTTGTCTATTTGCGTCACAGATTAGCGTTTCGCCAGTTTATATACGATGTATTCTTCGCCTTCTCCATGTACTCACGCGTTCCAAAAGTGGGCCATGCGCGGCGATCGTAGTGCTGGAGTATTTCGTCCAGAAACGGAAGCTCTGGAAAGTCTCCCGTCACCATGCGACTTTCGTGCGGCCTTTCGTGGTCGTTCTGCGGTTCCAGCCAGTGTACGTGATCTTGTGGAAACCTGCCAAAATGCGGAAGTGTCATGCCACCACAAGAAAGCGGTGATTTTTTTTTTGCGAATACTATCAACGCATTTTGTATGCTTTAGCAAGTGATTTTGATCACGCTTTGTCAGCTTGATCACATGACTTGTACAAATTCTACTAGAAAATTGCTGCTGAAACAAAACATCGGAACCCGTATTTATATGCAATATTTCAATAGAACTTTGCAGTGAAGCTGCATATGGCTGACCTCTTTGCCTATAACACACAGTAAAAAGTTTTACACCCAGAAGGGTGTAAAAAGGGTGCTTTTACGAGAAAGCACCCTTTGCAACACCCTTTAACACCCATAAATGGTCGATTGAAAAAAAAGCACCCATTTGTTTGGGTGCTTGCCTCGATAGCACCCTAAAATAGGCTCTAAGGGTGCTTTTGGGCCTGAGAAGGGTGTAGGTGACGATTCATCAGATGGAATATGCAGCATAAGAAGAACACATAATTATATTATTTGGTATTTTACGTCTCAAAAACCTCGATATGATTATGAGGGTCGTCGTAGTGGAAAGCTCTAGAGATTTTGACCATTTGGTGTCCTTTAATGGGCGCTGATATCGCGCAGTGCACAGGCTTCTACCTTTTCGCCTCCATCTGAATTCGACTGCCACGGCCGGAATCGAACCCGCGACCTTCGAATTGGCGGTCGAGCAGCGTAGCTACTGCACGAATATGTGGACCTTGCGTTAAATGACGGCCTAGACTTAGAATGTGTGAAGGTGCTCTCCGAATACAGCAGAATCCCAGCAGAAGCAAATCGCGTTTCATCTATAATGGCAATTAACTGCAATCCACGTTACGAAAGCTCACCTTAGCGTTGGTTATAAGCTACATGTTTGGTGTGGATTATACACAGGAACATAATGTTCGCCAGAGTATGGGTGTGTGTGCGTGAGCCTGCGCATGTGTTCGCGTGTAAGCGCGATTGTGTGTACACCCGTGCATGTGTGCGTGCGCGTGTATGTGCGAGTCCGTGCTTGTGTTAAGCGTGCCTGTGCACATGTGTACGCCCATGCATGCGTGCGTTTACGGTCGCGTGTGTGTGTTGCCGTATGTGTGTATACGTGTATGTGTGTGCGCCTGTGAATAAGTATGCGTGTGCATCAGCCCGTGCGCCCTCAAATTTCGTGTGTGTGTGCGGGGGGGGGGGGGGGGGCACTGCTTCTTAGTGTTTAAGGTCCCACACCTGTTCAGATTGGGAGTCTATATGGGAGGTGGCTTAAGAAATCGCGGTGGTCAAGGCACTGTACACTAACTATTCAGTACATGGAAAACAGCTGCACATTTTCGTGCCTCATCATTGCTTACGAACTTGCTGTGGTAACTGATTAGCTCCGTTGAGGCGCTTCTACGCTCGAAAACGTGGGTTATGACCAATTCACACGGAAAGCTGTCACTGCACTTATGCACAACCATCGTTTATATTAACAACGTTTAACAAGAACGTGCACTGCCTTTGCTACAGGTGCTTAGCTAGCTCATTGGGCAACCATATGGAATTATGTGCTGATCATGTGGTCAGCAAAAAGTTTGTTATAACGACCTCGGCACGTTTCGTGGTGCATGACAAGCCTTCTAAACATCCGCAACAGTGGATTAATTTGTTCCAGCTTCGACTACGCATTCAGTGTTTGCGGCACCATACGCGGAATCGCCGGACACAGACAATGCAAAAAGAAATTTCTCTGGAATAAGGTGTAGCGATGCTCTCCCGCTAATGCCACCGAGGACGAAATAATTATTGTTTCTGGTCATTCCATGGTGCACTTTGTTTTGCGCAAGTTTTGCTTCACTATTTTTCGCCCACTGCAATCGCATTCCGTCAAAATACTCAAAGAACCCGAGGCTGGTAAATAACCTGCGTCGCTGTGCGACTGGCTGGAAGGAGAGTGGCCGTTTACAAGGAGTCATTCCGCGTTGAACGGCCGTCCGCCGTATGCGCCATAGCGTTTGCCTTTCGGCGCCGTCTTGGCGGGTTTGCCGCTCCTTCCCCCCCCCCCCCCCCCCGCTCAACCCGGCCAGCGTCAACGGCGGCGTAGATAAGCGAAGAGTTGCGTCACCGAACACCGGCGTCGACAGCTGCGGCGCCGCCACGCCGCCGCCAGTGCCTCCTCCTTCTCTCTCTCAGTGTTGCCCTTTCTGTCTCATCAGTCTTTCAAATGCGTTGCGTTGGTCGGGGGTCTTGGTCGCTGTGTGTGTTCTAGCGAACAGGCGCATATTCAAAGGTGGTCACGCATGACACCGTGTTCGAAGTGACGCTCGGATTAAGGAATATTCATGGAGTGGCGGACACGGACAACGTGGGCCTGTTCGAAGTGACGCTCGGATTAAGGAATATTCATGGAGTGGCGGACACGGACAACGTGGGCCTGTTAACGGTGAGTGTACTGTTTTCGTAGGTAGTAATCATACAGCGCTAGCTGGGCGCCTGCAGCAGCTCTGCCGAAGTAGGCTGCCAGCCATTTACAACAGCATGCGTTTGCGGGCCTGTTGCAGGTGCCCGATTAAACGTGGGACTTAACGAGTTCACACTGCTATGCGCGATGTTGTGTAAGTGCCTGCATCACTCATACAGTGAGTGATGTGATCACTTAACAAGGGCGGGATTAGTTGCTGATCGCACATTGTCTCTACACTGCACAAAGTGATTGATATTGTTTCAAGATGTGCTTTGGGCTACATCGTAATAACATTTCTAATAATACTCAAATGTGCAACGTGCTTCTGTAGATGTAAACGCAAAAAAAGAAAGAAAAAGCAAAAATTATGTACAGAGGCGCACTGTACGAAATGGCTTTTTTTTTTTTTTGCTTAAAGACGGTATAGTTGGAGGTGCTGATATGCCGCGATGCTCCCAGCACGTGCGCCTCAGTCTTTTAAGCTCTTTAGGACAAGTGTCACCAGCAACAGGGAAAGATCTAGCAGATTTCCAAAGGCGCGTTGTTGTGTTCATCGCCGTGCGTTGTTTTCCCTCGTTTCTGTTTGCTGGTTTCGTGCTTTGCCTTCATCTGCGATAACGTTCGGCGTTATAACAGAATCGAGAGAGTATACGTGATTGTTGGAGCTATGTGCGGTTGCTCTAGCATAAGTCATGGCTGCTGCAACGTAGTCGGCGTCCGCGCGCGTTGGTGTCGTTCGATTGATTTGTGGGGTTTAACGTCCCAAAACCACCATATGATTATGAGAGACGCCGTAGTGGAGGGCTCCGGAAATTTTGACCACCTGGGGTTCTTTAACGTGCACCCAAATCTGAGCACACGGGCCTCAACATTTCCGCCTCCATCGGAAATGCAGCCGCCGCAGCCGGGATTTGAACCCGCGACCTGCGGGTCAGCAGCCGAGTACCTTAGCCACTAGACCACCGCAGCGGGGCTGGTGTCGTTCGAGCGCTCTTACTTGCGTGATTGTGTTTAACTGAGTATTTAGGCACGGGTTACGTTTGTAAATCTCGTAGTCAATAATCGCTAATAGCGTGCCCCTGATTGCCATCAGAGGATGGGCTTGGTTGTCGAAATATGCCAGACGCTTTTTCTGAAAGCAAGCTTTGAATTTTTTTTTAAAAGAAGTACTTTCATACGTGCAAGGCAGTGCCTATTGCAGGCCCGC